ACTCCCAGACCTCACTGACAGATATATTTATGGTCACATTTACACAGGGAGGGGCCAGCAGATGGTGTAAAGGTTACTTCGCTGTCCTCCACGCCGTCAACTTCAGTTTGAGTCCCAGACCCAGGGACTTAAAACTCATGCTGGGCACATTGCGTGTGTGCCCAAAATGCCAAGAGGAGAAGGGACTGTGGCGTGGCCATGCCCTGTGAGGGGGGATGACTTCTCACTTAGGGGAAGAAGTGCATTTGGGAGTTGAAGTCTACACGGGTCCAGACGTGGCCTTGCAGCGCCCCCTCCCTGTAGAGAGAGGACTCGGCACTCTGCTGCACTGGTGGGCGACAGCAGGCACCGACTGTTCCTTACTGGGAGGCTCGCTGAGCTTTCGTGTCCAGCTCTCACTGGGCTTTAGCATGTGAGCACACAGGTTGGTTGTCTTCGTGGTTCATCCCGTCCCCAAGTCAGCCGATGGCTGCGTGACCTAAAGCCTCCACTCTGATTCGCCCAGTTGGTCTTTCTGGAGTCACCAGCCCCCACCAGAAACAAAGGCATTCCTATTGGGTGTGTCACGATGAAGTCCCAGAAGTGGAGGACAAAGGCCAAATGTCTCTCTAGGTGAGAACAGAGTCTCTCTCTCTCCCTCCCTACCCTACCCCCAACAGGGAACTGGCCAGAAACCCTCCTGCTCAAGCGCCTGGGTCTGTCTTCAAGGCAGAAAAAGAAAATGAAAGCTGCTCTGCTTTGCTGTGTGCAGTAAGGTTTTTAGGGTTTCAGGGAGAGCCCGGGGCTTTTTGGGGGGTGGGATAGTTGTTTTTTTAAGTTCGTGTATTTCTTCCATGCGCGAGAGAGACAGAGAAGGGGAGAGAGACAGCACTCCCAGCAGGGTCCAGTGCTACAGTCCAGTCTGGCTTTGAGCTAGCCCAGGTTATGGGCACGGTTGGCCTGGCACACAGGGCGGCCCCTGGACTGGGAGCCTTCCCAGGTGCGATTGCCGAGCAGGGCGGAGCAAGCATTCTGCCGTTGTGCCGCCGTCTGGCCCCAGAGCATGCGCTGGGTGTTATCCAGGACCCTCCTCCTCTTTCTTAGACGTGTATATTGAGAAACAGAGATGGGGGGGATTAAAAGGTCACATTAAGTCATTTTGAGACCCTAAAGTGGACCTTTTTTAAAACATTTATTTAATTTTATTTATTCATTCATTTATTTTAATTTGATCAGACAAAGAGTGAGAAAGCAAGCCACTAGGTCCAGGACTTGAACAATGGTTGGCCATGTGGGAATGTCCAGAGCCTTAACCACCACGCCACCTGCTGGTCCCTGGTGTACCTGTTTATGGTGCCTCTTTTTCTGTCCCTAGCTCTGACCTCCTGGATCCCACATCTTCTATAGAGGAAATTCAAAGAGGACTGATCCCAATTCCTAAATTCTAAAACGATGGCCCACGTAAGTACACATTTCTGTTTTCTTCTTGAAATGTGACGGGTGTTGTGGCTTTTTTTGTGAATTATCCACAGCCACCTCCCCAAGCAGATCGCACGCGATGAACTGTTCTGAGAGTCCTCCTTTTCTAGTGAATGATAATGCCGTATAACCCTGTGTCTGCCTTTTTGTTCATTAGTTACTTAATTGTCGAACAAATTTCTGAATGTCTCCTATGTACTCAGTTTTCTGTCAAGAGTAATTTTGGAGCTGCGAAGGCAATGTTTAAGTCTGATTTGATGAGTTAGACATGTGTCGGGCCCACTTGACCACGAGGAAGCAAATTCCCTACTGTGTGCTAGGCAGATGAGAGGCGTGTTCATGCTCACTGGCTGGGCAGGGCTGTGACTCGGGCCCACCGACAGGGCTCCTGTTCCTACCCGGGAAACTGGGGGGTGTGCTTTATTGTGAAAGGGACTGCAGACTTCTATCGAGTTCTGAGTCAACACTAGTGTCCTCTAAGTCAAGAACAAGATTCTGGTAACAGATAAGAAGGTCCAGCACACAAATAATAGAGAGTCACATACCCCCCAGAATTGGGGAGAACTTTTTTTGTTGAAAACCAGTGGTTTGCTCAGCCTCACACTATGTCTGACTTGTTTATATGACGAGATTAAGAAAAATATTTTCTTGGGGCCAGCAGGTGGCATGAGGGTTAAGGTGCTAGACTCCCACATGGCCAACCGTGGTTTGAGTCCTGGACCCGGTGGCTTGAAACTAATGCTGGGAGCATTTACGTGCAGTGTGCATGCCCAGAATCCCAAGAGGAGAATGGAGGAGAAGGGACTGTGGGATGGCCATCCCCCTGGGGGGTGATTTCTCACTTTCTCCCTCTCCGTCTCTGTCCCTCCAGCGAGCACACATGCCCTATAACAAAATCTCTCTCTCATAAAAGGGGAGGAGGACAAAGACATAGGATGCTCCAGGAGGACACACTTGCTGACAGTCTCTGGGGCAAGCCCAGAGCAGACCCTGCTCATAAGCAGGAGGAACACCTGGATTATTTTATGCACGTCCCACCAGGTTTGCGTAATCGGGCTTCCGAGCACAGGGTTAGGGTGCTCGGCGTGTGGTGTGTCGGTGCTCCGCCTCAGCCCGGGACCATGGCCTGGCTGCCTGCCCACCTCTCTCACCGTACCCACCTGCCCCACGGGCAACGGTCGTCCTTCATTCTGAAGCTGATTGCTTTCATTCCATTAGGAACATGTCGTTTGCGTTTTCAGGGCTTAGTGACATTCTCAGATGTAGCCATAGACTTCTCTCAGGAGGAGTGGGCCTGCCTGGACTCCACGCAGAGGGACCTCTACTGGGACGTGATGCTGGAGAACTACAGTAACTTGGTCTCCCTGGGTAAGTCGCATGCCCTGGCTGTCTCGGACTCTGCTTCCTGGAGCATCAGCTCTCCGCTCTGACCTTCAGGACCATCTGTTAAGAAACTGGTTGAATTTCTTCTTCCTGTTCCCAAAGAATGTTTTGAGCTTTGTTGGTATGGAGACAGACACTAGACACGTTCCTCTTCCCATCTGTTTTCTTCCTACCTCTGGCCCTGCCTGTAATTCTCTGTCTCTTAATGACCACAGGATGATTAGAATTCTGGAGTATTTACTGCATGACTGTCTTCTAAGAAACCAAGTTTTGTCTTGTAATACAATGTTTTTACCCAAATTGCTGCTGATGGTCTGTGGTACTCTGCAGACCTACCTTTAGGGAACAATGTCTGGGTGCAGCACCCTGCTTACTCTAGTAAACCAGCCTGTGCAATTGGTGTAGAGTAGATCGAAGAACAGGATTCAGGCAGAACCAAAGAACACACTTTCATTTTCTGCACATCATACCATGAAGTGATATTGAAAGTTAAATCCATGAACTATGGGGGCCAGCAGATGGCATGGTGGTTGAGGTGCTGAACTCCCATTGGCTGACCGTGGTTTGAGTCCTGGACTTGGCAGCTTGCTTTCTCACTTTCTTTTTCTTTCTCTCTCTCTAGTGAGCCTGTGGCAAAATTTAAAAATAATAATAATAAATAAAATTAAATAAATAATTCTTTTTTTTTTTTTTTTTTAATCCATGAACTTTGAAATAAACATTGAGTGATGAACCAGCCGGTGGTATGGTGGTTAAAGCGGCTGGATCCCACATGGCCAACTGTGTGGTTCAAGTTCTGGACCTGGTCGCTTGAGAGAAACACTGCACACGTGTGTGCGTGCTCAAGCTCCTGAGAGGAGAATGGAGGAGAAGGGATTGCGGCGTGGCCATCCTCCCTGGGGGGTGCTTTCTTCCTTTCTCTCTCTCTCTCTCCCGCCAATGAACACACATGCTCTATAGCAAAATTACAAAAATAAGTAAATAAACAAATATCAAATGACAATATCTATCAAACATTTAAAGAAATTTTCTTGTTTTTCTCTTAGCAATATATGAGAGTACTTCAAAAGTGTGTAGAAAAGTAAAATGAAAGTACAAGTTTATTTGAGAGGAAAAAAAATTAAAACCCACGCATAGTTTTTCATGAACTTCTCAAAGACCCGTCATATTACAGTTGATATGTGGCTCCGTGCCGTCCACGACTGCTCTGAGCGCTCTGTGTGTGTGTGCGTGTCCACACGTTTGATCTCCTTCTCACACGTTTGCAGGACAGGCACAGTCGTGTGTACTCCGGAGACACCACGTGAACTTAGGGCAGGGCAGCCAGAACTGAATCTCAGGACTGGCCTGGAGAGCCCATGCCGTCAGCCATCGTGTTCCACTTGCCTCCGGGAACGATGTCTATGAGACATTTAAAATAAATGCTTTTCCTGGGACCAGCCGATGGCATCATTGTTACGTCGCTGGCCTCCCACATGGCTGACTGCCCGGCCAGATCCCAGCCAGGCGCGTGTGTGCATGCCCAAACTCCTGCGAGGAGGATAGAGAAGGGATTGCGATATGGCCATCCCCGGGGCAGGGGTGATCTCTGTCTCTCTGTGTCTCTATTTCTCTGGTGAGCGCACAGGCTGCATAGTAACACTGTGTCTCTGTTTCTCTGGTGAGCGCACAGGCTGCATAGTAACACTGTGTCTATAAATAAATAAATAACTGCTTTCCTGCCTGCGGGAATTCCTGTTTATTCTCTGATCCTTTGTCTTTTGTGACGTCTTTATCAATGTTATTTTGACTTTGGGACTGCTAAAATTTGACTTAAGTGCTCAATCAAAGAATTTTTCAGGGACCAGCAGTTGGCATAATGGCTGTGTCTCTGGACTCCCATGTAGTCGACCACGGTTGAGTCCCAGACTCGGTGACTTAAACTCACACCGGGCGCGTGTGCGAGTGTGCACAAGATCCCAAGAGGAGAATGGAGGGGAAGGGATTGCGATGTGGCCATCTCCCCTGGGGGGTGATTTCTCACTTTCTGTCTCTCTGTCTCTCTCTATCTTTCTGACAAGTGCAAGCACCCTATAGCAAAAACCTCTCTCTCAAAAAAAATAATAATAATAATTTTTGAGCAAGAGGCTGTATTTATGGCTGTGAAAACAAAAGCTAGTGCACAGGGGAGTGAGAGCTAGTCTGGCGAGAGCGTGCCCTGCTGGGCAGCGGGGCCACGCCCCGCAGTGTTTGGAAAGCTCCTGCAGAGGTCCGGGCCCACAACCCTGGGGAAGAAGTGGCCCGGACCTCTGATAGAGAACTCTATCCTCACCGCAGTTCCAAGGGGTGCGGTTCCTCCTCCTCACAGCCACGTGTTGGCGGGATGCTGGCTGTGGGCCGCGCTTCTGGTCTCTGTGCTCTCTGAGAGCTGCTTGTTGCCGGAGCTGCAGGCGCCTTTCCTTTCCCACTTCCCGCATTCGCGACAGCGCTGCTTCCTGGTGGCTGCCGTGGTCGGGGCATCTGACACCCCATTACAACCTGCAGTGCTGCTCACAGTTGTTGACACTCAGTGCCCACAGTCACCCTTTCCCTGGCACTTCAAAATGGTGACATTTGTCATTGCTCCTTCAATTTGTTAGGGGTAATAGCTTTTTTTGTTTTTAAATTGCTAGAGAGGGTGCGCACTCAACAGAGAGAGGAGAGGGAGAAAGCAGCCCTGTGGGCGTGATCGCAACACAGTCCCTTCTCCGTTTCTCTATCCTGTTGGGATTTTGAACACGTACACGCTTGGACCTGGCAGAGGTTTCCAGCCTCTGAGTCTGAGATTCAGTGGTGTGGTCAGCCATGTGGGAGCTGGGTCCAGTAACTGCCGAGCCCCAGGGCTGTCCCTGTAATTACTGTGGTTATGTCACTAACACAGACATGTATCATTTTCAGAGTTTTTGTTGAATTTTGCCAGACGGAGCATGCTGGAGAGACGGAGAGAAGGCAAGAGAGAGGGAAAGTGAGAAAGCACCTCCCAGGGGACCAGCAGTTAGCATAATGGCTATGTTGCTGGACTCCCACGTAGTCGACCACGGTTCGCGTCCCGGACCTGCTGGCTTAAACTCACGCTGGGCGCATGTGCGTGCGTGCCCAAGATCCCGAGAGGAGAATGGAGGAGAAGGGATTGCAGCATGGCCATCCCCCCGGGGAGTGATTTCTCGCTTTCTGTCTGTCTGGCGAGCGCACGCGCCCTATAGCAAAAACCTCTCCAAAAAAAGAAAGCACCTCCCAAGGGGGGTGGCCACACCAGTATCTCTTCTCCCTCCCTTTCTTCTTTCAGAATTTTGGGCACACACACACACGCGTGCACACGCGCATGCCCAGCATGTCTCAGGCTGCCTGATCTGGGACTCCAACCATGCAGTGCACCATGCAGAACTCAGCGACCCTAACCACCACACCGCTGGCTGGCCCAGAATATTAATCTTACACGACTGTCCAACTGCATGTTCTTATTTTTAAATACTAGTTGATTATTTTATTTTCTTAGGTCTTCCAGGTATCTCATCACAGCATCCTCAAGTTGTACTTTTCATCTTCACCTTTGAGATCTACCCTCCACTTTCTTTTGCCTAACTGCATGAGCTGTAGGGAGTAATGGGCCGGCAGTTGGCACCGTCTCGTGTCGACGGCCGGAGGCATGCCCGCCGGGGGTTT